TGCCAACAGGAACGAAGTGGCATCGTTGAAAGATCTTTGTGCCTTGTAATTGCTTTAAACACTATACTTGGATACCACATTGACCTGTCATGAAGACTGACTTCATTGTTACAACCAAAATGCCACTAGTGTTTAATGACTGTCAACTCTGTCTCATTGAATGAGGCTATTTATTCAAGAGTGGATATGTTATGCTGAAATTGCTACTCTCTTTCTGATCAGATGATTATATCCTGTTGTCGGACATCGAGAAGGCCTTTTTGAGGGTTCACCTTGAATTGGCGGCTGACAAGAATCAATTCTGCTTCTTCCTTAAGGATGGGGAGCAGCTGCGCTGCTTCCAATATTCTACCATTATTTTTGGATTCACATCCAGCCTCTTCCTACTGAGTTGTATACCATAGTGCCCAATTTCCCTTTGACGCATGAAAGTCAATAATGAAGAATCATTTTTATGTGGCCAACTTAGTAATGATTGAAGAGTTTGCCAGGCTGCTTGAACTGTATTCCCTTTTCAGGGAGCGACTGCAGTGGGGTGGGTTTGAGCTGCAGTCTTGCGGTTCTAATTGCTCCAAACTCAGGGATAAGATGAGCTTTGATAGTACCATAAGTACACATGGTAGTGAGTGGGAGAAGGTGTTGGGTTACCAGTTGTGGTGAAAATAGAAGAACTCTTTAATCTTTCTCTGACCTTCCAGGACTGAATTATTCCCCTTTGTTTTGTCTTTCTCTCTCCATGAGGTAGTCGGCCATTTTCCTGTTACGGTTCGCTACCGGAATAGATTTCTAGTAGAATAAAGCTTCATTCAAGCTATACTGACTCAGCCTTTCTTTCACTTCCACTCAGTCCTTTTACATAACACCAGTACTATCCCTTCTTGGAAAAAATTTGTGTAGCTCCCATTTCATGCAGTCCTGATGCTTTGACCAAAGAACAGATCCTTTCTGAGATGACCAAATTGTTTGTCCCCTTGTCTCGCTGTCTCCCCATGACTTTGCAGAGTCAGGTTCTTTTTGATGGATCATGGAATAGAGGGTTGGGATGGGATAAGCAAGTCCCAGAGGAGTTCTAGTCTCAGTGGCAGAGTCTCAGGTGGGATCTCTCCAGCCTGAGTCTCATTCACTTTGACTGGCAGGTGCTCAGGGAGGGCCAGACTGGAAACTTGTTTGTATTCTGTGATGCCTTAACTGAGGCATATGGGTTTGCCACTTATGTCATGCAGAGCCACTGCTCAGAATTGATCTTTGCAAAAGCTAAGGTTACTCCCTTAAAGAGTAAGACTCTTCCTACTCTGGAGCTGATGGCAGTGTACCTGTGTCTGAAGTGTCTGCCTGTTATCTTAAACAGCTGCAAGGAGTTTCTGCCTTCCAAATTGACACTCAGGTTGTGCTGTCTTGGATTCTCTCTCAGCCTATGGCCAGCAAGAATATTTTTGCTAAGAATAGACTGAGGGATGTTTTCCATATGAATGGTTAATTGGAGATTCAGTTTGGCCTGGCACCCTCCTTCAAGTATGTTCTGACTACCTAAAATCCAGAAGACCTCATCCCTAGAGGGTTGTCATTTAGGAGGTTTAAATCTGACCTTAAATGTTTGTGCTATGGACCTTCTTGGTTGGTGGTGGGTATCATCAGATAGCTCAGGAATTACCTTGCCTCAGCAGATGCAGCTAACTGGTTGCTTGTGAGTTCATAAACACCATCGTTCTTGAGGAAGAATATCCTTCCTTCATCACTCTGGATTGCCTTTTAGGATTTGCACATCTGCTGAGAGTTGCGATCTTTGTATTCAAATTTATTAGTAGACTGCAAAATGAAGACTGTAATCTATTTGATGAAGCTCCTTCAGTGCCAGGCCTTTGCTGAGGAGCTGGAATTCCTGTTCAATCCCCCCAGGAAGTTGTTGCCTTGTCTAGTCTGAGCACTAGATCTCTTCCTTGATCAAGATGGGTTGATCCATTTCAGTGGTAGAATATGTAGGTCTTCCCCTTTTAGCTATGAGGTAAAAAAATACATTTTGCTGGATAAAAATCACATCTCATTGATTATCATGGATTGCCATTTGAGATGCTCACACTTAGGAGTTGGGTTGACCCTGATGCAGTGGATACTGGGTTCTCCAAGGAAGAAAGACTGTCAAGAAGGCTCTGACATCATGCACCTTGTGCAGGAAGTTCAATGCAAGACATGTACTGCCTCCCAATGTTGCCAGCCTGCTCATTCTGTGCATAGAATTTGAGGTTCCCTTCCAGAATACTGGTGTCAACTTCACAGGACTTTTTGGGGGTTAAGGAGGGAATTACAGAAAAAAAGATGTATTTACTGCTCTTCACCTGCCTGAGTATCTGATCACTTCTTATAGATATGGTGTTTGACATGAGCATTTTGTCCTTCTTCAAGCCCTGGTATGGTTTATCAATGTCGACAACATTCCTTCTGCCCTGTACAGCAACAATGCCAAGACCTTTATGGGCAGTGGCAGGTTATTCCACCATCTTCCTCTTTGCTATGAGTACCAAGAGAAATTTGGCACATGCAACATTCCCCTCTTCTCTCCTTGGTTTGGAGGTACCTGGTAGAAAAGCATCCAGGACTTAAAGCCATACCTATATAATGTTATTGGCAGAGGCAAGGTAAACTATTTCTCTCTCCTGACGTTCATATCAGATATTCAGAGGGCAGCAAACGACTATCCTCTGAGATACTATGAGTCTACAAACAGAGAATTGGAAGCAATAACACCTAACATCAGACCAAATAAAAACCCTGGATTGTTGCTACGCATAGGAGGAGCTGATCTTTCTTCTGCTGTTTCTCTCAGTTGGAGAAGGTTGATTAAATCTATGGAGCTGTGTAATAATTGGCTGGATGAGTTCCAACACATTTGGTACAATGAGTACCTCCTGAACCTTAGGGAGATGTCTCACGGATGCTCCTAAATGTCATTCAGAAACTGACTAAAAATTAATGATGTAATTCTTGTCAAAAGCCTCCTCAAACCTAGACCCTTTTGGATTCTGGGAACTGTTTTGGAGCTATTCAGATCTGCTTGCATCAAGCAGGGGGATGACCCTGTGCAGGTCCACTCTTTGAGACATCTGTACCCCTTGAAAATCTCCCTGTCTCCAGATGTCGAAGGTAAATTGGAAATTGATTCTCACCTCCCTCTCTCTTCTGGGACACCTCGTCCAGAGGTGAGGCCATGGTTTGACTCTGTCTTGTCTGCAATGCTCCTCAGGGAGATATGGCCATGATTGGTTGTGACCTCTGTGACGAGTGGTTTCATTTTGGGTGCATGGGAATGGACAGGTCTCCACCAGAGAGGTGGAAGTGGTATTGTCCTGAATGCACCCCCGCAAAAAAGGCAATGTGGTAGGCCCAGTTTGCTTCCAGCATAAAATTGGCAGTCTGGGTAGTAGGACTAAAGGAGTGTGTGGAAAAATAAGTGAAAATTACCTGGTGGTGGGGAGGGGTGCATCAGATATGGAGTGTTTGCCATGGCTTGTTTTTCAAAGCGAGGCCACTCCAAGCACTGGTTTTTATAGTCCCTTTTACAGGAAGGGGTGGGATTTGCAGGTCTGCTACCTTCTCACTTAAGGCCTGCCTTCCCTCCTTTTTCATTTTTTTTTTTTTAAATAATAGAGACTTTATGAGAACAGAGTCATTCTGTGCCCTCTCTACTTCTCACATTATTAATTGATACCTGACTGCATTTTGGGTTGTGAGATTAGGCAATGTTTCGCAACACTTACTGTACTGGACTGGCTTCTGATCTACCCTTGGAGTCAAAAGGAGTTTTCAACATTTAAGAGGAATTGAAAGATATTTTTAGTTATTGACTTGTGTGTGGTGACTTTAAATAAATGTTATTTTCATTTGTTTTTTTTATACAAAAAGTAAGCATTATGTTTGCAAAATACAGTTTATTAATACTTCAACTTAGTAAATGACTTCAAAATATACCAATATGACAAATATTGGATTTTAAAGACATTTTTAAATTTGTTTACATTTTTTCGTGTATGATGGGAATGGTGGTTCGATGAGTGACGAGAAAACGTGTCAATTTAAAAATGTATGTACGAAAATTAATTTTTCTTTTATTCCAGATTAGCTAAGAAGCTATTATTTTAAAAAAAGAAAAAAAAGAAATTTAAATTCAAAGGAAGCATTGTTTTAAATTCGTTTTTAGAAAAGAATAAATAAAAATGATTAATTATTAATTTGATAAGTTTAATTTAAAGTTGGTTATTCCCTATAGAAGTAGAATTTTGCAAAATAAATTAAATTATATAACTTTGACTAAGAAACAAAAATCTAAAAAGTTGCATGTCTTTTTTTAATGATTTTGTTTTACTGGTTCTTTATCCGGTATTTTAGATTTGAAATCAGTTTGTTGCGTGTGAAAAATGCTTTTTATGTATAAAAACTTGAAATGAAAGTTATTTTTTAAAAAATGTAACCAAATAAAATGAACTTTATTCGGTAAATTTCTATTTTGTTTCCCGAGCGCTAATATCCCTTCAAAGACTAAACAGCTCGGGAAACAAAATAGAAATTTACCCTTTATTCAACTAAAACTTCCACATTGACGTATAGTTTTAAAATTAAACTGAACTGTTAAAATAAAAATTACTTAAATAAAAAAACTGGTTGGTACTTCTTCTACCAGCGCGAAAACTTAACTTCCGATTTTAACGGTGTGGAGTAAAAAAGCTAGACAAAGAAAATATATCCTTTAGATCGCCCAATTAATTTTATTTCTTTAACAGTTTTCCTATATTTATTTTGTTTATTGTCTACGACTATTATGACTATTTAAAAATACAAAATTTATAAAAGTTAAATAATTTGTAAAACCAAAGATAAGTTAACTCTCCAGTGAAGCACGTGTTTCATTCATTGTTCTTTTTTCTGCAACTGTGGAATGAAATTTAACGTGTTTTGATTTTGTTTCCGTGAATATTTGTAATTGAATAAGTTTACTTAAAAATATCAACATGGATCCTATCACGGTTTCAGCACCAGGTAAACTGATTCTGTTCGGAGAACATGCTGTTGTTTATAGAAAGGTAGGAGAGAATGCTTTTTCTTAACCTTGTGGAAAGAAATAACTGACTTCTATATCATTCCATGAATGACTACTACAGATTCGTACATTTATCCCAACTATATTTACTCATGGTAGTAAAGAAAAATGTAATTTGCAGATATTCCAAAATATATTTTTTAAACGTTATTTGGTGATTAAACTGTATGGAAAAAGTGGATGCTATATTTTTTTTTCCTGCTACGAATATACATTTTGAAACTTCTTTGGTGGTATGAGTTTAGTAAAGTTTGTAGTAAACAATTCTGAAGATAAACGAAGTAATCTTCACATCATCAGTGTCCGAATTGAAAGAGTTCAGAATTCGCAGGGTTCTAAAAAAAAAATATTATAACCTTATGAGAACTGACGAGAAAATAGAGAACATAACTACGTCTCGAGTCAATTAAATGAAATTTTAAAATTATAAAAATTGCTTTCTATCTTTTCCCTTTCCAGAACTACGACCATTCGAGGCCGAAGTAATATTAAAAAAATAAAAAAAAAGTGTATGTTCAATTGCAATTGTCGATCTCTGAGACGTCCTAAAAAAGGGAAATGCCGAAGCAGTCTACTTCCTTGTACGACAATTGGCTCAGCCAGAATCTCAATGAAATAAAGTGCACAAGCATATAGGACTGGTGATGAAGGGTCCCCACCCAAACGGTATCTCTTCCCTGGTGCTTGCGAGGTCCGAAAAGAGAAAATGCTGAGTAATTTTGTTTTGTCCTTAATTATTAGCGTGAGACTCTCACTCTAAACTTGGCCTTGTGCCACATTTCGTTCGAGTAGGGGAGCGGATATTTACTTCCATGTACACATGGTTAGCTGCTTGTTGTAATTAAAATTTTTAAATTATCAAATTTGCTCTCGTATAAAAGCAGATAGATAAGTTTTTGGAATTGTTTTTTATTCACTCCAAAATTTATAATTCGACCCAAAATAAAAAGAATTTTATATTTATTAAAAATTCACACCAAATTCTCTCAGAGAGATGTCCTTCCATTACACTCCGGTTGGGTTGACCTTTGCGATCGCCCCAAATGTGGGCGACTCAGGTGTGCTATTTCTAAGTGTGGGGTCTCCGTATGCGCTCACCCGATAAACACGCCCAAAACAGGCTTTTTTTTTCTTTTTTATTTTAAATTGTAAAAAAAAAAAATTCTTGTAAAAGTACCTCGAAGTCGAATATCATTTATAATTTCAAAAGAGTGCCAAAAATTTAATAAAAAACAAACAAATTTTGATTTAAAATTTATAATTTCTTAGGGGTGAATTATTTGCGATTTTCATCATTTGGGTTGAATTAACAGAAAAGATCCAGTTTCTGAATTGTAATAATGTTGACAAAAGTAGAAAATTAAAAACGGTAGTAGCTAAAGACAGTGAGTGAAACTGAAATATAAGTAAATTGATGCATTTCAAAAGCTAAGCTGGGTATTGAGAAACAGAAAAAACTTTGTTAGAAATAAAGAAAAAACCACTAAACTGTTTTTACGTGATATGTCCTCTTATGGCAGTGAATGCTAGACAATTTCCTCAAAGATGAAGAAACTTAAAACGACAGAAATGCTGAGAATACTATGGACCAAATATGTGAGCAACGACGAAGTTTTAGAGAAAAAAAATGGAAACAAAAAGGACACTTATGCTTAATATCAGGGAAAGACAATTGACATTTTGAGGGTGCATAATGAGGGAAGATGGCTTGGAAAATCTGATACTCATAGGATGGATTGAAGGTAAGAAGGTCAAAGAAAAACAATGCATAACAAATTTAGTGAGCTTGAGTAAATGGATGGCAGGACAGGGTTTAGGAGAAATAACAAAAAGGTAAAATTTACTAAGAACTACAATGGATGCATAATTGTGGAGAGCCATGATCGCCTATGTCCTGAAAGGACATGACACATAAAGAAGTAGCTAAAGACAGTGAAATATAAGAAAATTGATGGGTTCATCAAATTCTCAAGTTTGTTTAGCTTAGCCTGGTGCAAAGGATATTGCTGATTTTTACCACATTTCTCTTTTTTATTTATTTCAACAGTCTCATATTCTGAGTCTTCCTTTAGATTTGAAAAGTAAAATTTATTTAAAATATACAACTAATTAATTTCCAGATCTGATATAGCAAATCCAATATTTTTTATTTTAATAATTTTTCTTTTTTTTTTTTTTCCAATTTTGAAACTTATTTGTTACAAATTTTGAATTTGATTTTAGTTATTACTTATGAAAAAGTAGTTGAAATAAATTACAATTTTATTTTTCCAGATGGTATTTTTCGTTTTATTCCTGTTATTCAACTTCCACTATACAAATTTAATGAAACATTTAATTTTACAATTTTTATGCAGTGTTGGCCATTTTTTTTCCTTGTAGTTAATTATAGCTTTATTTTTTGCAAAATCATTCTTGTAGGGCTCCCATCAGAATCAAACTTCCTTCATTAGTGAAGTGGTCAGCAAAACAAGTTAAGCTAACACTAAACAAAACTAGAATTAACTATAAATTCAAAAAATTTGTAACCTAAATAAACAAGTTTTCTTTGGAATAAAATTTAAATTCAAAAGAAAACTTATTTATTTAGGCTACAAATAAATATCCATGAGTGTAAACCATCATATTGAATTGGTGATTCTTTCTGTTAATTTTTTGGGATTAGGATAAAATTTGCTTTATTACTTGTGGAAGAATGACCTTTTCCTTCCAGTATTGATAGTACAGACATAGAAACATGACAGAACATAGATATAGCAGAGATATAAAAGAAATAGAAAGACAGAAAACATGCTTCTTGCCAAGATGCATAAAATCTAAGAAGGAACACCCATAATAGAAAAAGAAGATACTACAAAGATGGAACAAAAACATTGGCAAACTCTTCAAAGAAGATAGGCCAACAATGCATAAAAAGATGAAAAAAAGAGAAAAATCCTGCAGCATTAAAATATGACTTAAGATGATCACCAGCTAAGTTGAACAGAAACAAAACAATGTAGCAGAACCAGATGGGATTGTAATATAAATACTGTCAGCCTTAGATGATTTCAAGCTCAATAAGATTGCCAAAATAATGTATAACAGCGGGGAAATACTAGACGACACCAGTAGATCTATCTTTCGAGTGATATCAGAAAAGTCAGATGCAGATGGATGCAAATTCAATTGTACATTCAGATTCATAAGCTACATTATTAAACTGATTGTTAAGATCCTAATGAATAGAGCTGGTAGCAGAATTAGACTGGAAGAACAATGTGGCTTTCAAGACACTGAAACAAGAAATGCAATCTTTATTATCATTATGCTATCAGAGTGAGAAATACAAATGCAAAAAGACTTATACCAATTTTTCATGTATTGTACAAAAGCATTTAAGGTACAACATAAAGGCCTACTTGAAATACTAGGAAAGTTTGATTTACATGGGAAAAATATTAGAGTAACCCATAACATCTACTGGGGGATGGGGACCTGCATACTGATAGTGAATACACAAAATAGAAAAAGAGTAAAACAAGGATGTGTTTTCTAACCAGATTTATTTAACCTATATACCAAGATAATCCTAAAAGAAGTAGATTTACTAGGATTTTTTTTATCTGTTGACATATTTTTAACAACATAAGGTATTTAGATAGCAGTGTTGGTGGCAGACTCAGAAAACTAAAAGAACTCTTAGACAAAGTAATAAAGGAAAGCAGAAGAAAACAGGATGTATAGCTGTAAACAGAAGTGAGCTATATATTAGAAACATTAAAATCAAGTAGATATGGAAATTGAATTATCTGGTAGTGTAGTAACAGGTGATGGAAAACGTGACATAGAAATCTGAAGACATGTAGGAATGTGTTAAAACTTCCTCATTGCTTACATCTTATGTTTATAATATTCTCAGCATCAACATATGGTGTAATGGTTAGCAAGTTTGTCTTGCTAGATCAATTATGACTAAATGTTGTGAATTCAATCCTCATTGGGTGCTCCACACTTTTGGCCTTGGGCCACATCTAGGCTATGCTTAGAAAATCATTAGAGCACTTTGTTGTGGTGTAATGGTTAGCAAGCTTGTCTCGCTACATCAATTAAAACTGAATAGTGATTTTGATCCTCACTGGGTGCCCCATACTTTTGGCTTTGTTCCACATCTAAGCTACACTTAGAAAACTACCACTAGTAAAACCACATCTCTGCTGTTTCAGATCCAGTGATATTGTTTGTAGTTGGTTTTGATTTTAATTCTATATTATATGCTTGTGATTTAAAAAAAAAAAAGTTCATAAATTTGATAAAATTGCAAATAAATGTTGTAAAATTTCTTGTTTCAGATGGCAATTTCTTGTAGTGTTGATAATCGAACCTTTGTACGCCTGACATCAACTGAAAATAATACCGTCAATATTGTGATGTCAGTTCTTGATATTAACCAAAAATGGCCAATAGAATCTCTTCAGAACCTCTTGCAGGAGTTTACAGGTATTGGAATGAAATACAAATTTACATTATTAATTACTACATGATTTTTGGTTCATAAATTTTCTAAAAAAAAAAAAATGTTCACCTTACTTTTAGGTGTCTAATAGATGGAGTTAGATGTTTATTATTTTTAACTTTTTTAAGGAAATCTTCCTCCCACCCAAGTTTATGAAAACCACCCTATTTATTAATTTTTAACTTTTTGACCCTTTAAATGATTTTTGTGCCCACCCACTTATTAAAACCCATGTTTATTGCCTATTGAGAAAAATTCTAACCCCACTGCCAATCCCCACTCTCCAAGAGTAATACTTTTGTTTAACTTTTACACTGTGATTAGTTTATTGAAAAGCATAATGTTAGGTAACCTACACTTGTAGGTGACATTGTTTTTTGGCAATGTTTAACCTTTGCTTCTACAAAAAAAACAGTATGTCAAAAGGATAGTTATTCCCTTGACACCACTGTTACAATATACCCTTTTGACTCCCTTGCTAATATTCATTTACAAAATTATAAAAATATGTAAACCAAGTACAATGTGATTTATTATTTACTTTTTTATCAAGATTTTTTTTACCATTTTACAGTTTTGTTTGATGTAAATCAAACTGCTTTAAATCACAATCTAATCCTGCAAGGTTTCAAACAATTTAAGCTGTTATTTGGAGTACTATGGCATTTTGGCAATGTTTAATCTTTGTGTTCACAAAAAACAGTTTATCAAAAGGACAATTATTCCTTTGACACTGCTTATACACTTTTGACTCCCTCAGCAATTTTTATTTACAAGATTATAAAAATATGTGAACCAAGTACAATGCAAAATTTATTATTTATATTTTATAAAGAAATAAATTTGAATAATTTTTTTTATTTAAAAATTTATAAAAAATTACAAAATTATTAATATATGTAAACTAACTACAATGCAATAATTATTATTTACCATTTTATAAATAACTATGAAAACAATTTTTTTATTCATAATTTTATAAAAATATCAATGAATTATAAAACAAGAACATTTGAATAAACACCTGATTTTTCCAGGTATAATACATTTTCTTCTCAAATTATTTTACATTCCAGATTACTTCTTGTTTTAATATTCCAATTTTTATAAATTTATGAATAAAAAAATTTCTTTTCATGTTTATTTTTTCACACCTCCAAAAGCATAAAAGCTATTTTCCCATGAGTGTAGCCAGGATTAAAGCATTAGTTTACTTAGACATTTAGATGCCATAGCATAAATAACACGTTGATTTAACTTCAGTAAAATAACAAAACTAGCAAATCAGAATTGAGGATTCAACATTTGGCCAATCAAACAGAAGATTGAGACTAAAATTTTGGTTAAGTTGAACCTATCTCTACCAATATAAGCAGAGGAGAATAAACATTTAGATAATGGTGTAGTGGAGAAAACAACCACATCATTGAATCAGGAATGACACATCTGCACAACACACTGGTTCCACAAATTCCATTCACTACTCCCAGACAAGGCATTTAACACAAGAGCTAATTGCTCTTCCAATAGATAAGTGAATTTATTTGTAAGTATGAGCTTTGCATACTAAAACCAAATACACTCACAAAAAGCTTATACGTATGATTTATGACCAATAGTTGCCTTCCCTCCAATGAACTAATTACTCTGACAGAGACTCAGCCATTGTCTTTTCCACTTAATAAATAGTTGTTGTTGTTTGTTTTATAAATCTTAGTTTGTGTTTATTCATGTTTCTGTAGTTAGAAGCATTGCTATCTTAAGGCTGACAAAATAAATTGTAGCTATTGCACACTCTACAATTTCTTTATAAAAAATATTCACATATAATCTTATAAATATAAAATTATTCTTGTAAATAAACAATCTAATAAATAAATAGTGTTTAATATCTTTGTCAATTTTCAAGAATAAAGACAATGTATAAATCCACTTTCATGTTTGGGTTTTATTAAAATTCTAATCATTGTTTATTAAAACAGTAACCATTGCCAAGGGAGTCAAAGGTGTTTACAATAATAGAATGAAAAGGATAACTGTCCTTTTGACACATTGCCTTTTTTTGCAGGTATGAAGGCTAAACATGGCCACTGTTTTTTTTATTGCTCCTGTACCATTCAATCTGGATACAAATTGATTTGAACATAGGGAAAGACGAGGAAGACTTTTTGTTTCTGTTTTCTCTTTCTTTTCTTCTTCTTTTTTTTTTTTTTTTTTTTTTCAGTGAAATTAAAAAAAAAACTGGGGCTTTCTCAATAAAACATGTTTATCATAATTTGGCCTCCTAGACAGAACTGACTTTAAATTGAATGGGCTCAATGTTCACATTCTGCACTCAGTTCTAGTCTCGACAAATACACACAACACCTGGTAACACAAAATTGTATGTTTTACAGAGAACAGAAATAATTTTAATTTTCTTCTGAATTCTTAAAATGTCAGTATTTGTTCATACTTTGAATATTTTTTACTGTACTTTAATTAAATATAGAACCACATAAAAATGCACTTGCTACAGAATGCAGAAGCCGACCCATGATAGCAAATTATTAGCTAAAAGACCTGTAGGTGTAGAATTATGACAGTGATGAATTGCCTTTGATTAAATTTTTGATATAAGACCAAAATGGCACATAGTTGACAGAGAGCCACAAGAATTTTGAAGAGTTGTCATGTTTCCCACATCCAGATTCCTCAGATAGGCTAGCCTGCACATGGTGGAATACCAAGCCAACAAGTGGACATGCATGGCCCTGAAAATATTCCTCTTGCTACCCCCTAGAAATGATGCTACCACATCTGTCCCTCTCATATAATAATGCAAATAAGTAAAAGAAACTGTCTTTTGTTGATATGATCTATGAAGTGGCGTTGGGTCTGAAGGACTGTAGTCGGTGGCAACACAAAACACAACATTCTCAATTCTCTAATAAAGTTAAGAAATTAAATATCTAAATATACATATATCAGCATTGAAGTGTATTTAGAATCCATTAAAATTTTATTTTAACAGTATCATGATTAAACTACCTAGATTACAACTTTATAAACACACCTGCATCTCTGTTGCTTGCCATACTGTTGGGTTTTACAATATGCTTTCTGCATCCTTTGCAAAGGATCTCAAAAGAAACCACTTGCTGCGTAAATATTTGCAATGTATATTTTTTGACTCTAGTATAAACCAGAGCTATGTCTGTCTTTTAATTTGTCCCTGCTTTGAATATTGCTGCCATATCTGGTCTGGTGCTTTTGTTATATATTTAGAGATTCTTGATAAAATTCAAAGAATCTGAAATGTTATTGGTCTTGACCTGGTATTTTGGCTTCAGTCACTTTCCCATTGCTGTAATGTAATTTCCTTGCCCATTTTTTATAAATACTTTCATGGTAATTGTTCTGATGAACTTTCTTCTATGATACCCAGACTTTATGAATTTAAGCACAGTGCCAAATTGCCAGCAAAGTCTTGTCATTTTACAGTTGAAATGGCTAAATGTAACCATAAACTCTATGCTAACAGTTTCTTCTCTCGCATGTGGGAAATTTAATGACTCTCCATACTGAGTTGTGGCTTGATGAATAAAATGAAACAATTGAACATTGTAAAAATATACTTTATATAAGAAATACATTACACAACGAAAAGAGAATTGCTAAAAACATATTTTTAGCAGTTAAAAGTTAAGGCATCAGGATAATATCTAAAACATGTATCTGTTTTAAATAGATGAACCACTTATCTGTACTGTGATGTCTTCTGCTGATAGCTGCATTGTCCTTACATCATTCATGTTTGCCCATGGGCAGCATTGCCTGTTCTTGGAGTAGGCTGAAAACATCTCTCTCTCATTCGTGGTTGCCTTGGCCTCTGTCTTGGCGCCTAAAACTTGTTTTGCATCTAATTTTAGGTCATACCCATTATTATCAGATGAATGGGTTTGACCTATTATCAGCAGGAGTTATCGACCAAAGGGAGGACCTATATTTTTTATATTCACCCAACACACAGGAAAGCATGCAATTCAGAGTTCCATTTCATGTTGCTAGTTCCTAACAACAGAATACAGTTCTTTATATATATATATATATATATATATATATATAAAAGGAGGTATGGTGGAGTAATGGATAAGGGCTCATATTGAGGAATCGGAGAGCTGAGTTTGAATTCCAGTTGAATCCATTACATTCACTTACATGCTAAAACCCTTGGGAAAGGTATGAATCCTCTTCTTCTCCCTCCAGCTATGGGTAAATAGCAGGACAGACTGCATTCTATAGCCTTGGAGGACAACTGGTCTAGGAGAAGGACAACTCTGAATTCAAAACCTGCATATGGTCATTTGGGGACCTTGTGGCACATAGTGCTGCAGGTCTCTGTATTCAGCCCTTCAAAAAGTGTGGATGGTTCTGCACAAAACCTTCACCACTATAATCAAATCTGATGTGCTAGTGTTGGGCTGTCAGTTCCTAGGAACTGATCTGCTTGACCCTCATATGTTGAATTCGATGGGATAGTTGAGTGTGTGTATATATATATATATATATATATATATATATATATATATATATATATATATATATATAGTTTATTCAAATTTAGGTAATCCGTATAGGTAGACCTGAAGGAGGATGATATCCAGAGAGCTCAATGTAAGATTCAGAGCATATATGTTTGAATAAAAGACAGACCACGTTAAGATTCCATGTAATAAGCTATTTCACCATAACCCCTTTAACAGGGTTCTGGATCATCAGACTTTACTTCCAAAAGCTGAAATGAAGAATGAAATGAAGAATGAAAAGACAATTCACAGGTTTTTTTATGGAACTCATCAAGTATCTCTAATCTAACGCGTCTCGTCTCTAGATAAAGGTGGTTAAGGGGTGGGCGATAACGGCTACATTGAGGAAGACGCGTTATAATAGCCCCAATAAATTATCCGACAGGTTTCATTCAAATTCCTAGACGCTGTCAGTT